TCCCTCTCGCCCAGCCATGACCCAAGGTCACTGGATTTCCCCCTTAAAAGTAAAACGTTGAGGGTCCCCTGCCTCTTCACCCGAGCGCGGATTTCGCCGTTCAACTTCCCTCAGAAAGCCCCTAAGTCAACCATGCCTCGCCTGCATACTCCAAGACAGCAGAGGCATCCCCGTTGAGCACCACCCCCAGGAAGCCTGGCATGATCCACTTCCCATCCTCTCAACGGAATCGGTCCAAGTCCCATATGAATCGGCAGCTTCAACGACTTCTTCGGAAGCCAAACCGAAGAGAAAAAGGCGGCCCGCCAAAAATCAAGACGCCCGAATGGGTTGCTGGTTGCTGATTGCTGGTTTGTGGTTGGTGGCTGTGTGCTACTTGTTGCTGCACCCACTAATCACCAAACATGGCTTGTCAACTGGGTTCACGGATGTGCAAAGGGAAAACCCACCTAATTGACTTTGGCCCCCCCGGAATCTCCAAATACCCACCTTTTCTGGGGTATTGTTGAAAAACCTGGGTTTTCAAAGTAAATACCGCCTGTTTTAGTAGAGGGTCGACATCATACCCTGAAAAAAGAGGGTATTTGGAGTAGGGGGTAGGCTCATGTTTGCTGAGGGAAACCCATGCGTGCGCAAAAAAATGGTTGCAATGCTTTTTGTGCACGTCGCTCGTTCCAAGCCCCGCCCACCCCCTACCCCACCCCCCGCCCCGGTTTAGCGCACGCTTTCAGAGTCCATAAAACCGGATTGGGAGAAACCGCGAATCCCAGCTTCCATTTGGTTAAGACCCCTGAAAAAATAGAAGTATTTCCAGTGGTGGTAGATTCCCTTTAAACCAACAGGGGGAAAAACAAAGCCTTAAGCAAATGGAAGCCAAGTAGTGCCTGGCAAATATTGTGTCCATCAACCGTAGGATCTCTTAAAGCCCGCCGACCTACTCATCGTTTGCGGCCCAATCCCCTCGGCGCTTCACCAAAAGGGTGTCAAAACAGGGGATTTGGAGCCCCGAAGGAGTGGCTTCCCTGTGGCGTCCCTTTAACCCCACCCCAAAAAGGGTAAGTACCAAAGTCCACCAAACACCCAGAAAGCTCACCTGTACTGGGTCCGCAGTGGTATCCAACAACATGACCCTCTCTCTCTGAACCCCACAGGGGTGTTCATGTGGAGAACCCCAATGTCTTAGCTGGGTCCTGCTGCTTTATGCTGTGAGCGGTTGCTGCTGAGAGGGTAGCTGTTTACTAACGAAAGAGCCCCCGATGAAAACCAGAGGCTTTCTTAGTGCCTATTCAACCAATAAAGGAATACATTAAAGCCAAGGGTACCTTCCCCATTCTTTCCAGGCATCCTTCTTTCTAAAAAGCCACCCAAAACCCTGGAGAAACAGATCCGGTGTTTGAAAAGAACGATGGTTGAAAAGGGGTGCGGATTTATTTTGGGCTTTTTTTGTTCGTTTTTTTTTTGATTTTTTTCGTTTTTCGTCCGGGCCAGCAAAATGTCGTATTTTACAGCATTTTCTCGCGAAATTGACGCATTTTACACTAGCTCGTCAACATCCCCAGCATCGTTTTCAACATCCCCCGCATGTCCGACCAACATCCCTAGCATCACCAACAAATCGTGGGTAACAAAATCCAACTTCAAACAGGAGGGCATTTCAATCCCAGCAAACAAAATACAAAAAAAAAACAATTAAGAAAAACAGAGCGGGGTAGTGATGATTCGAACAGGGGTGCAATTACATCTCTGCAAAAAGTCTAAAAAGTAGCGGGGGGGTTGGGGGGGCGGCACCCCCCCCCATGATGTTCGAAGAATTGATGATTCAACTAGGGGTTTCATTAATTACATCTCTGTAGAAAATCTAAAACGTAGCGGGGGGGTTGGGGGGGGCGGCAGCCCCCCCATGATGTCGGAAGAAGTGGTGATTCAAGTTGGGGTGCAATGATTCAAGAAAGGGTGTGATAGAATTTACAAGGCAGCGGGAGGGTTGGCGGGGGTGGCTTCCCATGATGTTCGAAGAAATGCATACAGACAGACATACACGGACTACACAGATTACCTAAAATGTCGTATTTTGCAGCATTTTCTCGCGAAATTGGACGCTCGAAAAAGTGATGATTCAAACAGGGGTGCAATTCAATCTCTGCCGGGCCAGTAAAGTGTCGTATTTTACAGCATGTTCTCGCGAACATATACCCCGCATGTCCCACCAACATCCCTAGCATCACCCACAAATCGTGTGACAAAGAAATGATGATTCAAGTCATGTCAATCCCTGTAAAAAAATATAAAAAGTAGCGGGGGGGTTGGGGGGGGCGGCAGCCCCCCCACGATGTTGTTTGCAGAAGTGATGATTTGAATAGGGGTGCAATTAAATCTCTGCAAAAAGTCTAAAAAGTAGCGGGGGGGTTGGGGGGGGCGGCAGCCCCCCCCCATGATGGTCGAAGAATTGATGATTCAACTAGGGGTGCAACCCCCCCATGATGTTCGAAGAATTGATGATTCAACTAGGGGTGCAACTAATTAAATCTCTGCAGAAAATCTAAAACGTAGCGGGGGGGTTGGGGGGGGCGGCAGCCCCCCCCATGATGTCGGAAAAACGCCACCTGCCGAAGAGGAACTGGGAATGCAGAGGATGCGAAAAGCCAAAAAGCCACCAAAAGCCGCATAAACCAGCAAAAAGCCGAAAAGCCTAGAAGCCCAGAAGCCGAGAAGCCAAGAAGCCGAAAAGCCAAGAAGCCAAGAAGCCAGGAAGCCAAGAAGCCAAGAAGCCAAGAAGCCAAGAAGCCCAGAAGCCCAGAAGCCGAGAAGCCAAGAAGCCAAGAAGCCGAAAAGCCAAGAAGCCAAGAAGCCGAGAAGCCAAGAAGCCAAGAAGCCAAGAAGCCAAGAAGCCAAGAAGCCAAAAGCGAAACAAAAAAATCCAAAAAAAAAAAAAACGGAAAAAAATCCTAAAATAAATACCCCTCCGTTGAAAAGAATGGACGAGGAATCAACCCCTAGAACAAAAGCCAAGGGCATGTGCAAACCTCAGATGCCCAGTGGATTTAACTTCCTTTTGGTGCTTCCCTTTGAGCTCAAAACCTGGTGGCGTTGCTAACCCTGGGTTCCTTTTCAAATCAAGACCTGCCATAAGAATTCGATCCGGGAAGGGACCTCGTAAATCGAACCGCTCGAGTGTTACCAAACCAAATCCGGGGGAACCCCGAACGCTCGAAACCCACGAAATCGGCGATTGATGTTGTGTGAAAGGGAACATTCAAAACATATATTTGGGTCAAACGTATTGATTTGCAAGCACCGAAGGGAAACTGGGCGATTGCAGCGGACAGCCTTTTCGACCGTGTTCGAAATACCGTTGGGGTCACCAATGTCCGCCTGAAAACAAACACAAGTCCCTTTAAAGCAACCAAAAGAATACTTCCAGTACTGATAGAGTCCGTGTAAATCAAACAAAAACATACTTCCAGTACTGATAGAGTCCCGAACAAAAACAGCCAACACGGGTAAACACAACAAACATTCCCTTCAGCAAATTACTTCCACTACTGAGGAAGTCCCTTTAAAGCCCAACAAGGAAAAATAAGACTAAAACATTCTCTGGGCTGCCCTCACATCCCCTGCTAAAAGTTTAACTTTTAGTGGGATAAATACGGAAACCCCCACATCTAAGGGTTGATTCCCCATTCTTTCGTCACACGCGCACTCAGTGCAACGATCGGTCTTTCCAGCCGGTTTCGGCTCAGTTTTTTATTTTTTCTGCAGCGAGCACTGACGCATGCAGAAAGTTGTCCCACGGGCTAGGGGTAGGGCCAATAGACTAGACAACCCCTTCCCCTGACCTGCCAAAGTCATGCCGCTGCAGGCCATCGATCTTACTGGCAGCGTTCTGTTTTCCGGGGCATTGTTCTTTCCCTACAATCATCGTTCTTTCCCCAAGGCCATCGTTCTTTTCCCAACCATCGTTCTTTCCCCAACCATCGTTCTTTCCCAACAACCATCATTATTTCTCTTCTTTCCCCACCCCATCATTCTGTCCCCCTGCATCGTTCTTTCGATCAAAGATCAGTGTGTCCCTGTTTATATTTGTTTCGCTTTTGCATCTGTTTTGGGTGAAAATTGGAAAACCAGAAAGAATGGGGAAGTATTGTATGAAGTCATATTTTCGGTTAAAACCCATTCTTTCCAAGCATCAAATTTTCTAGGATTTCCGGTCTTTCCTCCCGAAAGTGATGACAACTGCTGCGTGGGCTGCTGCGCGGGCCCCCATTGAAAGAATGAGGAAGTGAATTGGAAGCTTGTGGAGAATTGGATCGCGGGCACCACTTTGGTGGGTTGGCTGCTGAGGGGCCCGCGATGCCATCAGGAGGGTGCTTCAATGCTTGCCGTGAAGCCACGGGCTTTATGTTTGTCAGTGTCGCCTTGGCAATGATTCATGACATGGATGTGGGCAAAACAAGAAGGGCAAGGCTGACCGCCCCTGCTTGGGAGATGCCTGGTGGGCTGCTGGGAGTCGGCAAAGGGAGAGAATGGGAACAGTTGAGTTTTAGCCTTGCTTGGGTGGACTGCTTCGATGGCAATTGTTGTTGCATCCATTTTGGGGGATAATTGGGTTAGCTCTTCAGAATGGGGTGGTGTGGCTTAGAACTAAACACTAAAAGCATCTAAAAAGCTAAGGGACCGGATGGCTGGGAGCCACCAAGTTCCATTCAGCAAATGGACGCATCTGGCCTGTCAAAGCTCCAAGCAGGTTGGTCCGCGCCATAACCTCCGCGCAAGAGGCGCTCTTCAGGGCGCGCTGCTGCAGATTAGGCACCTCGCATGCAAGCGAGCGAGTGACCAGCGGGTGTCTCTCATACTGTGGATGGACCCAAAAAAAGCCTGCACAAAATTAAAACCACGGGAAACCTTTGTTTGTTGGTATTTAGGTTGGGGACTCATCGTCCCATGGTTTCCTAGGTGGTGCAGGATTTCGTCCATCCGCAGTAGGACTCGGTGCAAAACTGAAGAAATGAGAAGTTGCAAGGGGTCTTTTCAAGTCCCGCTGAAAAAGACCGCGCAACCCAACATGTTCGGGTCCAAAACACGGCGGGTCTTTCTTGGGTCTCCCACCACAAAAAGCCAACCAAACAGTTGGGCCCCGAGTGGGCCATTGGACAAGGAGATGACTTCCAAAAAAACAAATCTCCAGAGAAACCGGTGGTTTGGCGGGTATTTCGCAAATTCCACACGTGGAAATGCCTACATCGGCTTCTGTGAGCTGAAGAAAATGAACGAACGAATGCCACATAAGTCTTGCTAGGGTCAGGCAAGCGCTTCCACACGTGGATTGGGCCCTCCAGTGGAGAGGTTAGACTAAGGGTACCAACTTTTAGTAGGGGAACCGAATCTCCCAACCAAAAAAGTTGGTGAGACAAGGGCACCTAGCTGGGGGACCGAGTGAAAGACTGTCAGACTGTGGCTTGAATCATGGACAGAAAGCCAAACAACGCAAACAAAAAACTTGATCCAAGAACAGTGAAGAATAGGCGGTGTTTCCACTATGCCACACGTCTTGTCTCAACATCACCCGGCTCCAAAGTCCAAGCATCCAACCCTACGAGAAATCCCCACCCCACCCCCCGAATCAGTGGAACCGCTCACCCGTAAAATGTGTGCGTGGTGGTCTTTTTGGTGTGCAGGGGTACCATTTTGGGGTGGCTTGAAAGGCAAGCCAGAAGGAAAACCACGTCCAAATTTGCATTTTGATCCGTACCACATCATGGTGAGTTCGTTCTACCCCGAATCGGTGAGCTCGAAGCCGATAAACCGTGCAAATGCATATCAGAGAAAACAGATTTTGGCCGGCGCACCAGTCCATCAAAGACGCAGGACAACGCAAGAGCAGCCATACCTCGGAGACACACATCGCCCCAGTTGTTTCCGCGAAACAGTGAGTTCGTTTTTGTTCAGGTGTCTGTGCGTATTGGGTGCGCCTGTTTTTCGGAATCCCCCCAAAATGGTGTTTCTTTAGATTCGCTGTAAAACGAAAAAGGAGAATCAACGCCAAGAAAGACAGATCCAGTTGTATTTTGCGTGGTTGATGTGTTCTTGTTTCAGTGTTGTTCATGTTTGTGGGCAATGACCCTTTTTGTGGTACCAAAGTGGACCGATCCCAAAACTACTTTATCACTTGTTGCCCCTAACACGCCAAAAACGAAAGCCGAAGCTTTCATATAGGGCCCGCTCTACTTTTCAATCAAAACGCTTGAAGAGCGTCATAGAGAGCCCCCCTTTCCACCCCGAAGGAAGCTCCTTGCATTCCTTGGAAACCAAGAACCTGTAAAGGGGAGAAACCTTTTCTTTAACAGCCAAACGCCCACCAAAACCCAAACGGAACCCTTTTTTTTTTGGTCACCCCTCGAACACAGACGCGCGGCCAGAAGCGCAAAACCAGCTGCGCGCGGCCTGCGGTGAACGCGGAATGCCACTGGCAGAAAATATAGCTCGAACACTCTTACACCCCGCCCACCCACCCCGCCCGCCCGCCCGCCCACCCACCCACCCACCCACACGCACAGGTGGTGTACAGCGGCGCCGTGCGAGTTTGTGGAGCAGAAAGAAGCATGAAAAATCAAGAATCCTTCCGCGCCCCTAACGTCGCCGTGAGCTTAAACTAGGTATAGCGAAGCCACGTATACCTGGAGTCTCCATGACCCTTTCAAAATGGGGTTATTACCCAAAATAATGGGCTCATGGACCCATTTTTTAAGGGTCAGAAGGAGACTCCAGGTAATGGCAGATGGCTTGCTTTTCTTTTGCGATTTCAGCATCGCCCAAGCCAAGTGGAACGAGAGGAACCCAATCGCCAGGTCTGTCGCGGTTGCTCCGTAGCAATCGACCAATTCGATCTGCAGAATAGAAGCGCGGGAAGAGCAACCCCTCAAGCCCCCAATCGGTTGCGGGGGCAGATCTCCTTGGTTTCCCAGCTTCGACCAAATGGCCGCCCACAAGGGAGGATTCCGGGTCTCTGGACAAAAAGCGGGGGCAACCCGAAAAATAGGTGGTTTCTCAACCCTAACGGTATGGCCTTGCAAAAACAAAACCGACTGCTTGTTGCAGGCCCCGAACCGAAGAATGAACAAAACCCAGACACCGAAAAACTTGCCAAGAACTGTGAAGGGTCGCTTCCCCGTTTCCTAAAGTCCGTTATTTTTAGCCAATGCAAGAGTGGTACCCTCAACAAGCCTGGCTGGTGGTTAAAAAAAGGCAATTTGGGTGTGGAACCCTGGCAAATGGAAACCAAGACTACCACCCGGTCCAATTCCTGGTGGTTTAATTTTGACCCATGCCCATGTTGCTTGTTTGCTTGTTGGAAGGTGGGCAAATGCCCATCCATGTCCTACTCGAGGCGATCCGCCCCTTCAGCCAGACGAACTCCACCGAAATCCGAAATCCGAAAGCCGAGCCGCCCAAGGCCTGTGAGCATCCCCCAGTCTGGTCAAGGCAGAACAGGCACGTACCCGCCTCACTCACTCACCCTCCCCCCCCAGCTAGCTTCTACCAGTAGGATACCTACATTGGTCATATAGTTTGTGATCTAGTTGTTTAACTGTGCATGTGCTTGATTTATCTTTCTTACATTGATTATTTGTGTCTTGCTGATGTGTTTTGTTAAATATTTTGCCTATGGCTTTATCTATTCTTGCTGATTGTTTCAACCGGTTGCACTTATTATCTATCTATGTGCTTGTTTGTTTGCGTGTTTGTGTGTTCGCCTGCTTGCGTGTTTGGTTGCTTGGTTGTTTGTGTGCTTGTTTGCTTGCTTGCTTGCTTGGTTTGGTTTGGTTGGGTTGGGTTGGGTTGGGTTTGGTTTAACTTGGTTTGTTTGTGTGTTCATTTGCTTGCTTGCTTGCGCGCTTGTTTTCTGGCGTGCTTGCTTGCTTGCTTGCTTGTTTGCTTGCTTGCTTGTTTGTTTGTTTGTTTGTTTGATTGTTTGTTTATTTGTTTGTTTGTTTGTTTGTTTGTTTGTTTGATTGACTGTTTGTTGGTTTGATTGCTTGTGCGTTTGTTTGTTCATTCGTTCGTTCGTTTGCTTCTTTGTTTGTTTGATTGTTTGTTTGTTTGTTTGTTTGTTCGTTTGTTCGTTCGTTTGCTTCTTTGTTTGTTTGATTGTTTGTTTGTTTGTTTGTTCTTTGCTTGCTTTTTGTTTGTTTGATTGATTGATTGACTGATTGATTGTTTGATTGACTGTTTGTTTGTTTGATTGTCTGTGGTTTGTTCGTTTCTTCGTTTGTGTGTGTGTCCTTCTTTGTCTCTGCGTGTCTTTTTGTGTTTGCTTGCTTGTTTGCTTGTTTTTTTGTTGTGTGTGCGTGTGTCTTTTTTTTGGTTTGCTTGGTTGCTTTTTGTTTGTTTGTTTGCTTGTTTGTTTGGTTGTTTGTTTGGTTCTTTTATTTGTTTGATTGATTGATTGATTGACAAACAGACAGACAGACAGACAAACAGGTAGACAGACAGGTAGACAGGTAGACAAGCAGTCAACCAATCAAGGAGTTCATTCGTTCAAACCATGACTGCTATTGGGTTGGATCTTTAGGCTTTAACTTTTTGCGAAATTCAGGTGTTTTCCAGCAAACCCCCAAAAAGTTAAAGTTTTTGCGGGGGGCCAACGGCAACCAAGAAACAAACACGCAAACAAGCAAGCAAAGAAGCAAGCAAGCAAGCAAGCCAGCCAGCCAGCCAGCCAGCAAGCAAGCACGCAACCAAGCAAGCAAGCAAGCAAGCCAGCCAGCCAGCCAGCCAGCCAGCCAGCCAGCCAGCTCGCCAGCCAGCTTGCCAGCAAGCTCGCCAGCCAGCCAATTAGCCAGCCAGCAAGCCAAAGCACAACCGAACGAATCAACGAACGAACAAATACATAAACAAACAAGCAACCAAACAATCAACCAATCAACCAATCAACCAAATCAACCAATCAACAAACCAGTTGTTAACTTTCAGAATTCAGGGTGCACCCCTGTATTTAAGCCGCTGCCACGCGAGTGGCTCCTTCAGAGCGATTTGCTCACTGCGTTTGCTTGCAGCAGAGCAGAAAAAGATTGCATTGTCTGCTGATTAACCGCCCTCGCCCGGCCTTTGGCCTTGGCTTTGGGGACCTTCGGCTGTACACGTTCCTTGGCTTTGGCTTTGGCGGAGCGACCGCCCCGTCCCGCTGACTTTGACGACGTGGCCTTAGCACTGCATCCACCACCCTCAAGGTCACAGTCCTCCGGAGCCGCATCGACGTGGTCATCGGGGGCAGCGATCAGAAGCTTGGCGTCGATCAATGCCGTCTGGTGGCTCTGGCCCGCCATGGTGTCCAGGTTGTTGTTGCTATCACCACTATCGCCGGAGAGCGAGGTGACCATGTCCATCTCATCTTCCGACCTGGCCTTCGTTGGAACGGCCTGATCGGATGGGGCGTTGAGCTTCTTGTCCTGGCGCTTGTCCTTGTTGTTCTTCTTCTCTTTCTTGTCCTTCTTCTCTTTCTTGTCCTTCTTCTCTTTCTTGTCCTTCTTGTCTTTCTTGTCCTTTTTGTGCTTCTTATCGCTCTTGGATTTCTTATCTGCCTTGGCGTTGCTCTTGTCCGTCTTGTCCGGCTTGTGCTTGGTCTTGTGCTTGGCTGGTGTGTCCTTTGTCTCCTTGATGGTCTCGCTGATGTTCGCGTCAATCGCTTTGTCAGCGGGATTCATGATCACCGTTGAGTCGGCGTCGGGGTATGCACCTGGCTTGCTGGGTTGACCGGGTTGATCTTGCCGTGTGGTGATCTCATCAAACTCCGCCAGCATGGTGGCGACCTCTGCGGACTGGTCAGGAGACACGAGGTTATGCGATGGCGATGGCGGCTGGGTGGCTGATCCCGCTTGTTGGGCATCGAGGTCCAGCTGCTTGTCGTCATGGATCACCTGAGTAGGCGCCACCTGTGTGTCCACCAGTGCACTGGCTGCAGGTGCCGTGTCGTTGAGATGTGTGCTTGTTGCACGTGTTGGGCTAGCTTCTTGTGTGTCTACTGCTTGTGTATCTGCTGGGATGACTGGCGGCAATGGCTGCCCGACGGATGGCGCAGCTGTGTTGTCTTTGCCAATCGCTGGTGCAATGGCTGCTTGTGTGTCGGCTGCTTGTGTCTCGGTCGCTTGTGTCTCGGCTGCTGGTGTCTCGGCTGCTTGTGTCTCTGCTGCTTGTGTTTCTGCTGGGATGACTGCCGGTAAAGGATGCGCTGCGGATGGTGCAGCTGCGTCTGCTTGCCAACCGCTTCTGTAGTGGCTGCTGATGGCATGACTGGTGGCAATGGCTGCTCTACGGATGGTGCATCTGCATGGGCGGTGCCAATCGCTGGCGTCTCGGCTGCTGGTGGTTGCTGGTCGTCATGCCCAGTGGCTGCTTCCGGAGTGGCATCTGGCAACATTGGCACGATTCGTGTAGCCCAGTGTGCCTCCATGCCAGCGGCGAAGCTAAGCATGAACCGGGTGATGTTATCCCTTCACAGGGGCGAAAAAAAAGGAGGAAAACCATGTGACCAATCCTCGTACATTTCACAGTGCCCGATTGGACGCCGGGAGCTAACATTAAGTTGTTGGCGTTCAAGTTGTGTTTGTAACGCTTCACCATGCCAATCACCCAACCCTGTCCCCTTGAAGTGGTCATTGATGCGCTGCAGTGATGGTAGGGCACGACGATCCAGAAGATGCACCGGGCACCTCACACCGAAGGTATGATTGTTGACCGGCTTCTCGCAGACCATGAATCCAGCAGGAATGACCAGGGCATCCCCCGGTAGGATACATCCGACGCTGAAGCTTGGCAAGGAAGACAGCTCTTCCGATGATGGGTTAAGGTTCTCCAGACCCTGAGCAGCCTCTTGAAAGCCGCCCGCAAAAGCCTCCATGAGCTGTGCAGTATCACAGGCAGCAACCAATCTTGTGCCATCAGTCTGGTAGAAGATCTGACCAATCCCACCATAGCCAATGGATGTAGTGTGTTGACCATGTCGATGGGCATACATCACTGGCTCGGACATTTTCCGGATGTCCGACTTGGATTGCTCAGCATCAGGATCACAATGCGCCGCAATGAATTGGCGAAATTCATCTGCAGTTGCAACAGCTACTGCGGGCACCACAGCTCCTTCCACCTAGTTCAAGCGTGTGGTCAACCACAATAGGCACCAGTTTCAGCTACAGCTACATGCTACAGTTATAGTGATTATAGTGGTTTAGTGGCATCCCGGCAACAGCAAACATTGAACATCACACAGCAGGAGTTTGTAGACAGCATAAGAGATATCGAATTACGGCCACATATCTTAAAAGGGACATGTTATAACATGTGTTTCAGTTGGACTAGCTGGTGGTGTTTTTTTCTGGCACCAACGCCTGCCCCGTCTCATCCAGTTGGTCTTGAAACAGGTTATCCCAGGACATCTCCGTGTTGAAGGCCGAGTTCTCCGTATACTGAATAGCTTTATCACGGGGCTCAGATTCTGGCTCAAATCCCTTGCAAGCGATGGCCACGAAGTTCTTCAGCTGGCCCCCATATTCGTGCTGTGGGAGCAACACGACCGATCATCGATGCCATTTGCCTTCAGTTGGCAACGTGTCATGCGGCACGGGTGATTGGGAGTAGCGTTTGGCATGTGTGACAAGTCCTTGAAGTTACAGGATGCCATGACATGCATGCTGAACTCCATCAGCCAACATTACAACATTAAAGCACTAAGCCTTGTAGTCAACCTTGAATATGTGCCAGTCAGTAAACGGCAAATGGGTATGTGTTTGGTTTGGGGCACCCTTTTTGAAGTCAGGGTTGTCTCAATGATGTCACAAACAGTGAGGTATCAGACCCTCCCACCCAAGAAACTCCCGCCTCCAATGCCTTTTTGATAGCAGATCGGCGCAATCTCGCAATAATCGGCCGGTGGGACCACATAAGAACAGGCACTGCTTGTGAAGGGCCAACCTTGGTTGATGTCCCAATGGATGTGTTCCAGTCAAGAACGAGACGTGCCCATTCAGCTATAAATTCATGACATTGCATTGCCTGAACAGTGCAACAGTGCATGGATTGCATCAAGGCAACAATTTTCTCCGTCACAGGGATCGTGAACTCACCGAATCGAGATCGCAGCACTGGCGGATCTGAATCACAAAGCTCAGACTGGATCCTGCCTGCCATCCTGCGTTTTTTCTTGTCCTGTGCCTGCTGCGGTTCCCCCTCCTGGTCTGCTTGGTTTGCCAAAACATGCAGTCGATGCTGTTCTTCCTTTTTGCGTTGACGTTCTTCGGCCCTGGCTGCTGCTTTTGCTGCACGCTCCGCCTCACGTTCTTCATGCTTTTGCTCCATGAACCTGGCCTTTTTCAGCGCCTTCAAATTGGCCCGCCATTCGGATGCAGCTGTGACCAATGATTTTGCCACTTTGGTCATCATACCAATGGCCTCATTGTGTTTGGAAAATTCGTCTTCAACCCGTTCCACCGTTGGCTGGAAGTCGGCAA